TTTACAAAATGGCGATGCTTGTTCGTTTGTGTTTCTATATTTATTCATCAGAAATTGCTCTCAAATGCATAATCCTTTGACAATATGAATAGAACAGCTTCAAACTCATATGGAGGACATAATTACTACATTACTAGGTAGTGCATTGACATATTAGTCTAAACATAATACACTTTAAGGAAAGAGGTCAGTTCTAGGAAATTGTGTAGAAATCAAGAATACGCTTTTACAAGAAAGACATAATACATGATTATAAAGCTGTTCCAGCTGTTTAAAATTGGATTACCACTTCACACGGATCTGAATATACTTGGGAGAAAATGAATTGCTTAAGAATGTCAAATTTTACACGGGATGATTATTAGTTAATGAGAGTTAAGAATGACAGACGATGTAATGAACTAACACTATAATGCATTATTCACTAAATTTCAATACATATTTATATTAATAAGTAGAAAAAAGTGTAGAAGTTATTCCAGTAGATTAGATGTGATATATATTATATATAAACCGGTGTATTGCAGTGTATTCGTTGATTTATATTTCGATTTGATTGTATATTTATTATAATATAATATTATCTAGTATATTTTTGTTATTATTGTATTATTACAAAACATAATAGGATTGTAATACCAAATTTAGTTTCGAATACCCGTGCATTAAAAATGATTAATTTTCATTTCAAATTTTGCGCCATTAATTTGAATGCCAAAAGCAGCGCCATCACGTCGAGCGGAGGACCCTTTAAGTATTCCTTCTGAACGTAAAAATCGGGCGAGAGAAGCGTCTATATGAACACGGGGTATTCTAATATTGTCTAGGCTTGCAACCCTTTTGATAAAATCGATTCAGGCGGGCTAAAACATGGAAGAAATTTTTTTCACTTTTCTGCTATTATCAAAGAAACGGGCTGGAAGATCGTCGAGCAAAATTGACAAACGCTAGTCTTTGTCGGGATACATCGAATGACTTTTAAATTTTTGAAATCGGCCCAGCCATTTTCGAGATAACGTCGACGAAATATGAAAAAATCAGTTCACATATACACTAACTTTAAACATATGAACATATTGATTTTAACATATGAAAAAATCAGTTCACACACATATACTTTTTCCAACTTTAGTCTCATTCGATTCAGAATGGCTTGAAACGTCGAGAAAACATAAAAACTAGCGAATCGGAAACATAAAATCATAGATATAAGAAGAGATAAACTCATAGATAGACTTCTACTTCGAGAAGATTTTTTCTATATATATCGATATGTTATCGAAATCGATACATAATATTTTTGACATGCAAAGTTAGGTTTAGTCGTGTTCTAACCTCAAATTTTTTCTCTTTATTTATTTCCATCGTTAAATATGTCAATATTAATCAAAAGTTTAAATCAAACATCTAGATTAGTTTCTCCACATGCTGCTGCAATTAATGCAGGTTACAATATAATAATTACTTTTGAAAATTAAAGTATATATTACTTATACCATTTTTTTAATAGTTTACATAAGAGAAGCTAGTAAGAAAACTGGAGGTAGTACTAGAAATCAAAAGGGTCACGCAAGGCCAAAACATCGTGGATGGAAGGTTCAAGATGGGCATACAGTCACAGCAGGAACTTTATTAGCGACACAACTAACACTGAGATTTCATCCTGGCTTAAATGTAAACATTAGTTTAAGAATATTAAATTACTTAAAAGTATTGCATTGGAACACAAAAATTCAATACAATCATCTAATTTCAATAAGCTAGTTTATCCCTTTGTGATTATATTAAGAAGATCACTTTTGCCGTCATCTTAATTATTGCATTTAAATGCAATTTTATTTCATTGCATACACAGGCATTGTAATGCTAAATTTATATATGAATGGACTGTTTTGCAGTTCATATAAAATTAATAACATTATAATTAATTTAATGATCTTTTTTGACTAGTTTTTAATTAGTTTGCATACTAATAATGTGACCAAACGTCCCGGGTTTTTCTGAGAGCAATAATTGTCCCGGAGTGTCCCCTTCGAAACGTTCTATCAAATTGAATCTTTGTAATTACTTAATAATAAAGTTACCCATGAAATATCTAAAAAAAAATACATACAACGAATATGCTTATATCAAACAATATGTTGCCGAAGTCAAAATTTCAAAGGCAGGTTAATATAATCCAAATATTATATAACATAATTGAATATTAAGTTCTTATTAAAAGTCAGTAATTTTGATTAAAAAAAAGTGATTTATTTAAAAATACCTGATTTGTCTTGCATTCTTAAATAGTATTTGTTGCTTTAAATCATATTTAAATTACTCTAAATCATATTTATTTAGCATAACTAGAAGTAACACGTCTAAAAATATGTTCACTAAACTTAAAGTTAATTCTTGACTTATTACTTATTAATTTCTCAATTATTAATGTTACTTATCATATTTAGGTTGGACTAGGTAAAAATGGAACATTATTTGCAATGGAACATGGCAAAGTTCTTGTAACATGTGAAAAATTTGATCCGAATTGGGAACACACTTGGGTTCAAAGAATCTATGCTGAACGAAGAGGAACAACAATTTATAAAAAATACTTTCATGTGATACCTGAGCCACAGCATAATAGGTTTAAGTTAGTTGATTCAATATAGAAATGATTTAATTATTATTTGTAGTTTGTGATATACCTAAATAAAAAGATCTATTATGAAGTGGTAATTTAATATTGCAATATTTCAAAATATAGGATGATATCTTTTATGATATTTCGTAAGAAATATAAGCCAGAGATAGATTTATATTTTTAACTTTCAGGAATATTTTAGTAAAGTGAATATCACCTAATTAATAGTATATAAATTAATAATTATATAAATCAAATATAATACTCTTTGCTTTTAATAAATATAAGAAATTTAAGCTAGGCAAAATTTCAACAATCACAATTGAACGGTTACACCCTCGACAATAATATATAATAAATAATATAATATTTATTATATTCTAATATTGGTGCACACCTCAGTTAATATAAAATAGTGTAAAAAATGAAGTTTAGTCAAAAAAATCACTAAGAAACGTCGTTGAATATTAAACTTTACCTTTAATTTGAGTAAACTGAGTAAAATATTCTAAGCAATTTTACAACACAATCACTAACAAAATTATATTTTTTAAAATGATATTCGCAAATTAAAACGGCAAAATATGTTATCACAAATTTAGAGAGATAGTTATGACTGTTTATAACTATGGTTATAACGTTATATACATATATGCATTAATGTCGTGGTTTCCAATCTTTGAGGCGCGCCCGTTGGGTGGAGCAAGGGGGGCGTACAGCTGTTCCCAAAATACTATTTTCGAAAATAAAATCAAACGAAATTAAACTAGTTGGTATTGGTATTTTGCCTTGAGGCAAGTTACATAAACTTATCGATACGTGTAAATAATCGACTTAATCAATAAAAAATAAATTAATTTATGAGTGATTAAAAGTATTCCGAGTGGATTTATCATGCATATATCATCGAAAACGAACGAACGAACACGGAATATTTTCTAAAAGCAAATTTTCAAATTCAACAATTTCTATAATTGAAGCAGTTTCCATAGGACTCTAACAAATTAGTATGATCATTAAGACCAAGTACTCTATCGTTATACCAAGTAAATCGTCTAATTTTAATTTTAACAAACGTCAAAAAAACTACCCATTTTCTCAAACTTTGATAATTAAATTGCTTGTCGTAAGGCCGTAATATTTGAGTAAGTTCTATAAGACCATGATATATATCGCCAAAAACAGTTCCATGAAAATCGGCGTAAATTTTTTTTCAATCGTTAATTACAAGAAAACAGTTCGGTAGATTTATTAAACCTAAAACTAATCAGTATCATTCCCAATTAATACGATTCGAACAGTTTTTGATTTATTAAAATCGATTCGGTAGTATGAGCTTAAATGCGAACGAAAAGTTTAACACTTTTTTCCAAATTATAAAGAAACGGTTCGGCAGATCTTCGCACAAAACTGAGAAACGATAGTCCTCATTGAGATACATCAAGTGGCTTTTAAATTTCTGAAATCGGTTCAGGCATTTTTGAGCAAATGTCGATGAAAGGTTTGACAAATGCCAAAAAAACTATACTAATTTTTGCAAATTTTGAAGAATTTTTAAAATTAAACGACTTTTCGTAAGTTCGTAATATTTAGTATGATCTATAGGACTATGGTATCTACCGTCAAAAAAAAATTCATAAAAATCGTCGAAAAAATTTTTTTTAACACTTTGTTACAAGAAATAAACCTTTGGATAACCATTGGATTCCCAACCAATCTTTCTATCTTTTGAAAGGTTGTTGAATTTTTAAAATCGATTCAGAATTGCGGGCTAAAACGTGGACAAAAAAAAACTCCACTTTTCTGCTATTTACAGAGAAACGGCTTGGCCGATCGTCGCACAAAACTGACAAACAATAATCCTCATCGAGATACATCGAATGGCTTTCAAATTTTTTAAGTCGGTCCAGCCGTTTTTGAGAAAAAGTCGATTTACGGCAAAAAATCTGTTCACATAGACACACACACACATACTTTTTCCAAATTTGGTCTCATTCGATTCAGAATGGCTTGAAACATCGAGAAAACATAAAATTAGCAAATCGGATTTTTGATAAAAACAAACTTCTCCATCGGGAAAGTTAAAAGTGAATGAATAATTATTTTACATAATATTGCATATTAATATGTAGTTTGATAATTTTATTATTATCAGTTGAGCATTTATGAAATTCAATTAAGGGAGAGTATTTATAAAAAAAATAAGTGGGGCCCAACAATTATTTTTGATAAGATCGCGGGAGCGGTAAGAAAAGGTTGGACTCTACTGTAGTAACGAATAAGATTTCTAAAACGCACAGAAATGTAAATAATAACATAACCTTATAACATCAACTAATATAACCTTAATTTATTAAGTGGCTTATTAAAATTTCTTTGTAAATGATTAGAGCTCTTTCAGTTTCACTCTTTTAGTGCACATAATTATATTTTATTCGACAATTTGCGAAAATGGAAGAACAATCAGAATCCATAAATATAAAAAATCTTCTCAAATCTCGAAAACCAATATTATTTAAAAACTACATAAATTCATGGCCGATTATAAAGTTCACGATGGAAGACTGGTATACAAAATTCAAAGGAAAAATATTACCGATTCGTATTGGGCACAAAAAGCATTATACACAACAATGGGAGCGATCATGCAAAATTGTTGACATGAATTTCAAAGATTTCATAAAAGATTTTCAGGATTCAGAAGATAAATGGGGATATTTTGATTATAAACATATGAATACATGGTTTGAAGAAGATATGAGCAATATGTTTGATTGGAAGATTTTTGGTGTTGAAGAAATTGGTTGTCGAGATAGTACATTGTGGATAGGTACGCCTGGTGCCCATACCCCGTGTCATTATGATGCTTATAGTTTTAACTTGGTAGCACAAATCTCTGGACGGTATGTATTTTTATTTTTTACATATTTGTAATACAATAATAAAGGCCACAAAACTATAATTATTCTCATCAGATGTTCAAATATCTACATTTATAAAAAAAAATTTAAGCAAATTTACAAAAAAAAGTGATAACTATACATTTACTTAATACAATTAGTATTATAAATCCAAACAATTTTCCTAAATTATTTAAAAATATGAGTGAGAGTAATTTATTCTATAGAGCATTGATAGCTAAGATCAAGCCATTTTTACTATTCAATGATATATAATAATTAATAATAAATGGTTATAATATTTAGAGAATATGACAAAAATGAACAAATATGTTATATGTAGTTTATTGTTATACATATACATATATTAAATGTTAAATATGAACAATACAACACTCAGATTTTTAACACACACTTTTGGTAACTACAGACGTTTCGAGACCATGGCATGCATGCCTCATATTCAGTGTAATTTCAAAAACAGTTACTTATATACTACACATTCTTTGATATTTTATTTAAATTACATTTAATTTTTGAAAATACAAAAAACACCAATTATTTCTTACTAAGCTTAACACAGTAAAATGTAAGAGATAGTTGGTGTTTTTTGTATTTTCAAATATTAAATGTAATTTAAATAAAATATTAAAGAGCGTGTTAGTATATAATAACTGTTTTGAAATTACACTGAAGATGAGGCATGCATACCATGGCCTCGAAATGTCTGTAATTACCAAATAAAGTGTGTGTTAAAAATCTGAGTGTTGTATTGTTCATATTTAACATTTAATATATGTATATGTATAACCATAAACTACATATAACATATTGGTTCATTTTTGTCATATTCTTTAAATATTATAACCATTTATTATTAATTATTATATATCATTGAATAGTAAAAATGGCTTGATCTTAGCTATCAATGCTCTATAGAATAAATTACTCTCCCTCATACTTTTGAATAATTTAGGAAAATCGTTTGGATTCATAATACTAATTGTATTAAGTACATGTATAGTTATAACTTTTTTTGTAAATTTTCTTAGAATTCTTTTTATAAATTTAGATATTTATACATCTGCTGAGAATACTTATAGTTTTGTGGCATTTTTTATTGTATTACAAATATGTAAAAATAAAAATACATACCGTCCAGAGATTTGTGCTACTAAGTTAAAACTATAAGCATCATAATGACACGGGGTATGGGCACCAGGCGTACCTATCCACAATGTACTATCTCGACAACCAATTTCTTCAACACCAAAAATCTTCCAATCGAACATATTGCTCATATCTTCTTCAAACCATGTATTCATATGTTTATAATCAAAATCCCCATTTATCTTCTGAATCCTGAAAATCTTTTATGAAATCTTTGAAATTCATGTCAACAATTTTGCATGATCGCTCCCATTGTTGTGTATAATGCTTTTTGTTCCCAATACGAATCGGTAATATTTTTCCTTTGAATTTTGTATACCAGTCTTCCATCGTGAACTTTATAATCGGCCATGAATTTATGTAGTTTTTAAATAATATTGGTTTTCGAGATTTGAGAAGATTTTTTATATTTATGGATTCTGATTGTTCTTCCATATTCGCAGATTGTCGATTAAAATATAATTATGTGCAATAAAGGGTGAAACTGAAAGAGCTTTAATCATTTACAAAGAAATTTTAATAAGCCACTTAATAAATTAAGGTTATATTAGTTGATGTTATAAGGTTATGTTATTATTTACATTTCTGTGTGTTTTAGAAATTTTATGCGTTAGTACAGTAGAGTCCAACCTTTTCGTACCGCTCCCGCGATCTTATCAAAAATAATTGTTGGGCCCCACTTATTTTTTTTATAAATACTCTCCCTTAATTGAATTTCATAAATGCTCAACTGATAATAATAAAATTATCAAACTACATATTAATATGCAATATTATGTAAAATAATTATTCATTCACTTTTAACTTTCCCGATGGAGAAGTTTGTTTTTATCAAAAAATCCGATTTGCTATTTTATGTTTTTCTCGATGTTTCAAGCCATTCTGAATCGAATGAGACAAATTTGGAAAAAGTATGTGTGTGTGTGTCTATGTGAACAGATTTTTTTGCCGTAAATCGACTTTTTCTCAAAACGGCTGGACCGACTTAAAAAAATTTGAAAGCCATTCGATGTATCTCGATGAGGATTATTGTTTGTCAGTTTGTGCGACGATCGGCCAAGCCGTTTCTCTGTAAATAGCAGAAAAGTGGAGTTTTTTTTTTGTCCACGTTTTAGCCCGCAATTCTGAATCGATTTTAAAAATTCAACAACCTTTCAAAAGATAGAAAGATTGGTTGGGAATCCAATGGTTATCCAAAGTTTTATTTCTTGTAACAAAGTGTTAAAAAAAATTTTTTTCGACGATTTTTATGAATTTTTTTTGACGGTAGATACCATAGTCCTATAGATCATACTAAATATTACGAACTTACGAAAAGTCGTTTAATTTTAAAAATTCTTCAAAATTTGCAAAAATTAGTATAGTTTTTTTTGGCATTTGTCAAACCTTTCATCGACATTTGCTCAAAAATGCCTGAACCGATTTCAGAAATTTAAAAGCCACTTGATGTATCTCAATGAGGACTATCGTTTCTCAGTTTTGTGCGAAGATCTGCCGAACCGTTTCTTTATAATTTGGAAAAAAGTGTTAAACTTTTCGTTCGCATTTAAGCTCATACTACCGAATCGATTTTAATAAATCAAAAACTGTTCGAATCGTATTAATTGGGAATGATACTGATTAGTTTTAGGTTTAATAAATCTACCGAACTGTTTTCTTGTAATTAACGATTGAAAAAAATTTACGCCGATTTTCATGGAACTGTTTTTGGCGATATATATCATGGTCTTATAGAACTTACTCAAATATTACGGCCTTACGACAAGCAATTTAATTATCAAAGTTTGAGAAAATGGGTAGTTTTTTTGACGTTTGTTAAAATTAAAATTAGACGATTTACTTGGTATAACGATAGAGTACTTGGTCTTAATGATCATACTAATTTGTTAGAGTCCTATGGAAACTGCTTCAATTATAGAAATTGTTGAATTTGAAAATTTGCTTTTAGAAAATATTCCGTGTTCGTTCGTTCGTTTTCGATGATATATGCATGATAAATCCACTCGGAATACTTTTAATCACTCATAAATTAATTTATTTTTTATTGATTAAGTCGATTATTTACACGTATCGATAAGTTTATGTAACTTGCCTCAAGGCAAAATACCAATACCAACTAGTTTAATTTCGTTTGATTTTATTTTCGAAAATAGTATTTTGGGAACAGCTGTACGCCCCCCTTGCTCCACCCAACGGGCGCGCCTCAAAGATTGGAAACCACGACGACATTAATGCATATATGTATATAACGTTATAACCATAGTTATAAACAGTCATAACTATCTCTCTAAATTTGTGATAACATATTTTGCCGTTTTAATTTGCGAATATCATTTAAAAAATATAATTTTGTTAGTGATTGTTTGTAAAATTGCTTAGAATATTTTACTCAGTTTACTCAAATTAAAGGTAAAGTTTAATATTCAACGACGTTTCTTAGTGATTTTTTGACTAAACTTCATTTTTTACACTATTTTATATTAACTGAGGTGTGCACCAATATTAGAATAAATAAATATTATATTATTTATTATATATTATTGTCGAGGGTGTAACCGTTCAATTGTGATTGTTGAAATTTTGCCTAGCTTAAATTTCTTATATTTATTAAAAGCAAAGAGTATTATATTTGATTTATATAATTATTAATTTATATACTATTAATTAGGTGATATTCCTTTACTAAAATATTCCTGAAAGTTAAAAATATAAATATCTCTGGCTTATATTTCTTACGAAATATCATAAAAGATATCATCCTATATTTTGAAATATTGCAATATTAAATTCCACTTCATAATAGATCTTTTTATTTAGGTATATCACAAACTACAAATAATAATTAAATCATTTCTATATTGAATCAACTAACTTAAACCTATTATGCTGTGGCTCAGGTATCACATGAAAGTATTTTTTTTAAATTGTTGTTCCTCTTCGTTCAGCATAGATTCTTTGAACCCAAGTGTGTTCCCAATTCGGATCAATTTTTCACATGTTACAAGAACTTTGCCATGTTCCATTGCAAATAATGTTCCATTTTTACCTAGTCCAACCTAAATATGATAAGTAACATTAATAATTGAGAAATTAATAAGTAATAAGTCAAGAATTAACTTTAAGTTTAGTGAACATATTTTTAGACGTGTTACTTCTAGTTATGCTAAATAAATATGATTTAGAGTAATTTAAATATGATTTAAAGCAACAAATACTATTTAAGAATGCAAGACAATCAGGTATTTTTAAATAAATCACTTTTTTTTAATCAAAATTACTGACTTTTAATAAGAACTAATATTCAATTATGTTATATAATATTTGGATTATATTAACCTGCCTTTGAAATTTTGACTTCGGCAACATATTGTTTGATATAAGCATATTCGTTGTATGTATTTTTTTTTAGATATTTCATGGGTAACTTTATTATTAAGTAATTACCAAATTCAATTTGATAGAACGTTTCGAAGGGGACACTCCGGGACAATTATTGCTCTCAGAAAAACCCGGGACGTTTGGTCACATTATTAGTATGCAAACTAATTAAAAACTAGTCAAAAAAGATCATTAAATTAATTATTGTTATTAATTTTATATGAACTGCAAAACAGTCCATTCATATATAATTTAGCATTACAATGCCTGTGTATGCAATGAAATAAAATTGCATTTAAATGCAATAATTAAGATGACGGCAAAAGTGATCTTCTTAATATAATCACAAAGGGATAAACTAGCTTATTGAAATTAGATGATTGTATTGAATTTTTGTGTTCCAATGCAATACTTTTAAGTAATTTAATATTCTTAAACTAATGTTTACATTTAAGCCAGATGAATCTCAGTGTTAGTTGTGTCGCTAATAAAGTTCCTGCTGTGACTGTATGCCCATCTTGAACCTTCCATCCACGATGTTTTGGCCTTGCGTGACCCTTTTGATTTCTAGTACTACCTCCAGTTTTCTTACTAGCTTCTCTTATGTAAACTATTAAAAAAATGGTATAAGTAATATATACTTTAATTTTCAAAAGTATTATTATATTGTAACCTGCATTAATTGCAGCAGCATGTGGAGAAACTAATCTAGATGTTTGATTTAAACTTTTGATTAATATTGACATATTTAACGATGGAAAAATAAAGAGAAAAATTTGAGGTTAGAACACGACTAAACCTAACTTTGCATGTCAAAAATATTATGTATCGATTTCGATAACATATCGATATATATAGAAAAATCTTCTCGAAGTAGAAGTCTATCTATGAGTTTATCTCTTCTTATATCTATGATTTTATGTTTCCGATTCGCTAGTTTTTATGTTTTCTCGACGTTTCAAGCCATTCTGAATCGAATGAGACTAAAGTTGGGAAAAAGTATATGTGTGTGAACTGATTTTTTCATATGTTAAAATCAATATGTTCATATGTTTAAAGTTAGTGTATATGTGAACTGATTTTTTCATATTTCGTCGACGTTATCTCGAAAATGGCTGGGCCGATTTCAAAATTTAAAGTCATTCGATGTATCCCGACAAAGACTAGCGTTTGTCAATTTGCTCGACGATCTTCCAGCCCGTTTCTTTGATAATAGCAGAAAAGTGAAAAAAATTTCTTCCATGTTTTAGCCCGCCTGAATCGATTTTATCAAAAGGGTTGCAGCCTAGACAATATTAGAATACCCCGTGTTCATATAGACGCTTCTCTCGCCCGATTTTACGTTCGAGGAATACTTAAGGGTCCTCCGCTCGACGTGATGGCGCTGCTTTTGGCATTCAAATTAATGGCGCAAAATTTGAAATGAAAATTAATCATTTTTAATGCA